TACCCGACCGGGTACATGTACGGGTACCCATTTGCGACCCTGGTGCGGCCGGGTACGGGTAAGGAAACAAAACCCGTTTGCGACCTCTGCTGCCTATCTCAGCTATTGCCTTGGCACAAGGCACTCGCCTGCAAAAAAAGTCTCCCTGCTCAAATGTTAGTGGGCCTGAACCTGCGGTGAATTTCTACGTTCTCACGCTTTCGTGTTTGCATTGTCCTTGTGGTTTTCAAATTTTTCGCGGCCTTTGGTCTAGCACTGGTGAGACAAAGTCATGTAAGAAATTGTCTTAGGTGTGTGCCAATACGTTTCAAGGACAAATGAATTTTTTTCTCGAATCAAATTTGTTTGCACGTTTTACGACAAGCATGTCTGGTTAATGCAGACTTGATGTATTGTAAAAGGTGTCTATTTGGTGTTTTAATATCTTAACACCTGTATTTTTTGCCACAAAGGGTAAAGTCTTGGTTTTTAGCATCTTAATACCGGCAATATATTTATTTTGAGCTGGAAAATAACCCGCTGCTTATCCGTAGGATGATCGCTGTTGTCACAGTTGTTGGCAATAACCATTTGGCTGAGCACTGTGCCCTTTAGATGAAATGCCGCCTATCTTGTGTTGAATCTCCGATGAGCAAACACCTGTACGCGTGTGGTTGTGTTTTGAGGATTTTTTTACGCCTGAATTTAGCTTTGCTTGTTTTGTAATCAAAATTTAAAAATTTATTCCGGAGAGAGAGGATTCTGACTGTGTGTTTACGGTGCCGCACAACTAAACCGTGTTTAATTCCCAGCCACGGTGCACACCCAGCTGCAAGTGGTATATGATCTCAGCAGATCGTTTACCTCCCCCAGGTCGACTCAGCCTTAAACTGGTAGCTGGCTGTGGTCATGTCCCCCCCTTGTGTGGTGTTGTGCCGGCTTTCATAGGCGCTCGATAATAGCACTTGCCCCAGCAGTGTTAAAGGCTATATGGGGCATCTTTTTTTTACATTCGTGTTTGTGTGTACGTACTGGATGCAGTGTGGGCTCACTGCTGGGGTGTGGCTCTGCACACAAGGCTGGGCTTTGAGCCTCCTCCTCCTCCCCTTGCACAGAGCTGGCCTTGTGTATGTGTGATGCGAAGCTTGTGGAGGTGGTGGCATGGCCCGGGGTGGGGTCAGAGTTGCAGGCATCGGCTCTCAAATGTCACCGCTCACGCACACAGCACGTATATACGATGCACATACACGCGCACACTCACCGGCATAGACACACACTCGCTCGTTGGCACGTACGCTAGAACAACAACTGCTGAGGTTTACCGCAAAATGGTGGTGACGTAACCGCGGCGCTTGTGCCAGGCTAGGTGCACGTTGAGGCCTCGTCTAGTGTGGGTGGTATGCTCACTGGCAGGAGGTCACGGGACAGACCCAGGTGCCGTGGGTTGACCGACTGAGATGACTGGCAGATGCACCACCTGTGTTCCCCACTTCCAGCTTGCGTGTTGTCTGCCCGCTCCTCCACTCGTTGTTGTGAATGTCGCTCCCCTTCCCTCCGTTGTTGTTGGAGGGCGACTGCCTCCAACTGCTCAGTAACGTCCTTCACGAGCCTCCTCCACAGAGGGCTGCTTTTAACGCCACTGGAAGCAGTCATTGGCAAGTCCACTCAGCTCCACATCCTCCCCTACCACATCAGTCCATCTTCTCTCCAGCCCTTGCCACGCCTGTGTAGCCCCCCCTCTTTCCGGCCAAACAGAAGCTGCTTGGGCGTGGGGTGGCTGGGCATGCGGGTCATGACCTAGCCAAAACAGCCTCGGCTGCCGGACGGAGCTCACTGATGGGACTGTGTCCGGATCTTTCAAGGACCTATACACAAAGACGAAGATTCCCCGTCTAGCCTTAACCGACTTTTGGGGCAAGTGCTATTAGGGAACACCTATGAAGCCTGGCACGGCACATGAGGGGGTCGGTGGCCATTACCATGCCTGGCCACCCTTTGTCTCATAGACACACTTGCAGATACATTACACACTCGCACACACTGCCACATACACACACCCAAACATAGTCTAGCATTTCGTTTCTGAATTCAGACCTACAAATGTTTGTAATGATGAGGATTGATGGTGGTGATGATAATGATGACGGTGATGATGATGATCGTAGTGATGATTATGGCGATGGAAATTATGAGGATAGTTATGATGCTGGTGAGCGTGGTGATGATTATGATGGTCTGAGTCAACCTTGGACTGGATTTGAGATCATGGCACACCAGAAAGCCGTGCACATTACACACGCGTCAATCTTTTATACTCTATCCTCATTTTTATTGTCACAGAAATACGGTACAGCAGGTGCAATAAAACTAGCAGGTGGTTAATAAAAACCAGCACATATTGCCAATTCTGGAAAATGTATATCACTGCAGTGCACAGGAAAGCGATTGTCTCTTCGCTAATCATTGAGAGTGTCCTCCCGCTTGCACGCTTGATGAGGTTTCTCCCTCCGAGCACTCCCATTTCCTGCCACGCGATAAACACTCGTTTCAAAAATACATATTGGCCAAACATCCCCATGCAGAACTCTCCTTAAAAGGAGCCATGTTTGAGTCATTTACCGTCAACATAACGTTCAAAATTGATTCCTTGCAGGCTTTTGTCAGTCCTCTGCTGGAGAATGGCCTCAACGCCGCGCTGTGTCAGTCACGTGAGGTTGTTTGACCGTACTTCACCATGCCGGCCAGTGCGGGTTTGACGGACGGAGGGAGGGCCCCCAAGACCATTTCCAACGTCCCCTTGCCACCGATGTTAGCCGTGGCCGGGGATCGAACCCAGGTCGCCAAATTCATAGCACGGCACTAATTATTATTGAATGTGTTTGTGTTACGTTTTTTGTGTCAACCTATGACCCGTGTCTAACAGAGCGTGCCCTTGCCTACAACAATCCGGCAGTTCACCAGTTTTGCTTTAAGCAAGCCTGACTGCTGATGAGACCATCGAATGCCCAAACCGGTCCAGGGTTTTGCTTGCGTTAGACCGAAGCCGCTGAAAAAAAAATTACTTCCAGAAAGCAATGTGGCTGATGGGAAGGGACATAAATGGAAAGCAAGCGTACTGTGTGCTTATTTATTTGACCGTAGACAGCACGCGGTGATGGATCGGTGATGAAACGATGGTGGGGGGGGGGGGGGGGTGTTTGCTGTTCTCAGTGGTGGGAAGTGAAACTGCTTTGTAAGGAAGTGGCGGTGCAGGAAGTTGGTGTTTGCGTCTCCTGCGTAGCGGGCGGTGCCGTCGACGGTCTCACACTGCGCTTTGAACCCCGTGACCCCGAGTTCAATTCCTTGGTCAACGGTCAACATCGGTGGCAAGTATCTGAACCGGTGCTGGGCCTCCCCTAGGTCGGCTCAGCCTTAAATGAGCACATGCAGCGACGTGTAAACATCAGCACTGAGGAGGCGAAGGTGACCGCGCGCAGTTGCTCTCCGCACCACCACCCCCTCGTGTGTCGTGCCGGCCTCCGTGGGTGTCGCTAACAATACTTTCACCAGTCGTCCGTTAAAGCTATGGGTGGGTGATTCTTTGTTATTGTGTGTGTCCGTTGTTTTGTGGATGTGACTGTGAATGTATCGGTCTTGTCATCTCGGTCAACCCCATAACACCTGGCCCCGTGTCTCTGGACTTCCTGCCACGCTTCACGTGACCTCAAAGTGTACCTAACCTGGGGACAAGCTCTGTGATGACATCATCAGCACCTAGTGGCGAATAGCGGCTATTGTTGTGTGCAAATTGAGGCGGGGTTAGACACGGGTCCTGCTAACCCCATTGACCAAGCACATCGAGTCTCAGGAGCTTCCTGTGATTTCAAAAATTGTGGGAGCGAGTGCGCGCGAGTGTGTTTAAGAGAGTCTGCGTGTGTGTGTGTGTGTATGCGTGCGTGCGAGAGAGAGAGGATGTGACTGTGCATGTGTCTGCATATTTGTGGGCATATGTGTGTGTATGTAAGTGTTTATTAGGGCATGTGTACATAAGAGTGTGTGTATGTGCAGTGGTTAGCGCGCTGCGCTGCAAACCCATTGACCCGTCTTTGATTCCCGCTGACGACCCACAGTTGTGATGAATATCTTAACTCCTTCTGAGCCTCCCCTCTGTCGACTCATCCTTAAAGGAGTACCTGGTGCGGTGTGTAAACATCAGCACTGGGGAAACAAAGGCGGCCGGGCGTGGTGTTGACCACCTGCCCCCTCGTGTACCGTATAATGCCCTTTATCGGCACTCGCTAACAGCACAAAGGCTATACAGGGGATCTATGTATTCTGGTATACATGTGTGTAAACCAAAATAATGCACTTTACCCATCAGTCTCTAAGGTTACACAGGTGATGTTTGTTTCGTGTGTCCTTTTGTGCTTGTATTCTTGAGTGAGTGTGGATGTGTTTCACGTGTTTGTGCGAGCACGTCGCTCTAGGTGTGCTGTGTGCTGTGTGGTGTAGTGTTGGCCTTAATAGGTGCTCGCTAACAACACTTGTCCCAGCAGTCTGTGAAAAGGCAGGGAGGAGTGAATTCTGATCAGACAAGACTGACCGGTGAACTTCCATGTCAAGCAGAGAGAGGTTGCTTGTTGATAAACATCAGCCAGTTCACTGGCATTGTTACAAGAAAGCCTGACTGCTGATGAGACACTGGTTGTCAAAACTGGTCTAGAGTTTTGATTGTGCTGATCCATCGACGCCGAAATAATGCACTCCGAAAAGGCCTTGTGACTGGTGGGATGTGTACAAAAACTGTCTTCGTATACATCCATGGAGATACCCACATGGGAAGAGGCCAATTGTTTGCTTATCTGAGTGAACTGCGGTTGTTGGTGGCTTCATTATGACACCACTTTCAAACCTCCTCCCCTTCTCCCCAACCTCTGTAACTTCAGCTCCCTCCCTCGTTCCCGCCCTCTCTCCCGCTCTCACTAGACAAGGGCGGTCTGTGCCCAGGGCGTGCTCTTGCCTATAAAACCTGGCAGGTTTCAGGAAACCGCGTGTGAGTGAGTAGCTTGCTTATTTACGGGCAGCAGCAGCAGATTCTTACTGAGCCTGCGTGAGTGAAGGCGTGGTGGATTAAATCCTTTTTAGGCAACTTTCCACGCTCATTGGCAGCAGCAGCAACAGCAGCAGCATTGACCGTGCTTAAGATCTATTTCTAAAAGTTCTTCTGACTATAGGGTATCCACTTTTCTCAAATAATCGGTCGGTCAGTCAATTCTGCCTGAACGTCGATATTTAAACGTCGGCATTTAGCAGAGTCGAAAGAGAGAAAAAGAAAAGGTTGGTCTTTAATTTGAACTTTTGACAGTGCTCTAAGTATAAATAAATTGACCGTACGTCTGTGCCACGTGTCAACGGAGAACAGGGGGGGGGAGTGTTTTCTTACCAAGGCGTTACTCGTACGCGAATTTGTTTGCACGCAAAACGTGTTCTCTTAAAACGCGGGGACAATTCCATTACGTCCGCCCCCACCGGCTGTCGTCAGAAGTGGGGACTGGAGGCATGGCTCATGCGCCCGGGCGCCAACGATGATAAAACCCAAGCTTCCTCTCCGCTCTTTCGGCATCAACATGGTCTTCCAATCGGTCACGCGCGCGCTAAGGTGAGCAGAGGCACTCCGTGTCATCTTTCTAAAAATATTTCTTTCCTTGCCTGCGTTCCCCCGTCGACACCCTAACTATAAACACATTTCATCCGGATAAATCCCTCGAGATGGAATGCACCCTCTCCTTTTTTCGCGTTCGCCCCAGGTGGCAGGTTGCCATGTGCATGGAAAACGCGCGATGGCATCACGTGGACAAACGTTTGAACATCGGTCTACGCTCTGAATAATGCGTGAATTAAACCGCTTACTTGGACTAATACTGGTTAAATGCCAGATGTTTATAAGAGGCAAGCGACCCTGACACTCGTATATTCTCCTCCTGTGATGATGCCACCGCTTGCTTTGTAACGTGACGAGTCGGACATGCGGCCTGTTCAAGCTGCCCGTCACAGTGGCGAATAATGATTGTGCACAACTTTTGAAGGAATGTGGCTTGGGGGGGTGAGGGCTACTTGGAGGAAACTGGAGACGGCTTTGTGTCATCTCTGCAAACCGATTTGCGTTCACTTGCATTCGTTCGAGTGGGTTGCTGTGCCTGAGCGTGTCCCGTCGCTCAATAGGCGCGTCGCTGGCAGCTCTTGCCAACGCAGCGTGTCGTGGCTACAATCGGGGAATCTTTGCTGCGCGTGTGTCTCTGCGTTTACATCGTGCGATCACAGCCCCTGTGTCAGTCCGCTGCTGGATGAGGGCCTCTTGCAGGTTGTGTGTGTGGCGTTTGTTTGACCATACTTCTCCACGCCGATCATCGTTTAGTTTGGTGAAGGGCAGGGAGCGTATAAGTACCGCACAACGATGTATTTTTCGATTGAAAGCTTTCGTGACTGCAGGGATTCATCTTCTTGGTTCTTTCGGTACAGTCACGCAGAATAAAGTAATAAAATAATAAAACATAATAAAATAATTCTCACGACGTTTCGGCCACAGCGCAAGCAGCCGTCCTCAGGTGAAGAACAGGTCTGTCGAGAAGACAGAGTCTGAATGTCTTCTCGACAGACCTGTTCTTGACCTGTTCTTCACCTGAGGACGGCTGCTTGCGTTGTGGCCGAAACGTCGTGAGAATTATTTTCTAATGTTTTATTATTTTATTATTTCCATTCTACGTGACTTTACCGAAAGAACCGAGAAAAGATGTCTTTTTCTGCAATGCCCACCACATAGTCTCGTAATCTATCCAGGATCAACCTTGCTTAGTTTCCGAGATGGAGTGCAATCTGGGTGATTTGGCTGTCCGAGTTTTAATTTGTGTATTCCTGTGCTAGTGCCTGAGTGCACCTGTGTTTGTATACTTTTTGGCGCGTGCATTTGTGTATCGTGAGTGCGTTTCGGCACGTACTCGTAATTTGCGTGCGTATTTGTGCGTCTGTTTTTGGACACGCAATTGCCACGTGTCTGCTCGTGTACGCGTCAAGGTATTTGCGTGCGTGGGTGTCGGTGTGGTGGTTAGAGCAGCGCCGCCGCACTGCGCTACACCAAACCAGCAGCACTAGTTTAATTTCCCGCTCGTGGCCAACGTCCGTGACGGTCCTGAGCCTCCCCTATGCGGACTCAGCCTTAAATGAGTGCCAGATGCGGTGTGTACAAATCGGCACTGGGGAAGCAAAAGGGGCGATGCTGGCCGTGCCGGCTTTAATAGGTGCTCGCTTAACAACAATTGTCCCTACATTCTGTCAAGACTATATGGGGTGGTCTTTGTTTGTATATTTGGGGTGTGGTGGTACAGTGGTTCACGAACTATTACATTCCTTGGGAACTGGCCTGTGCGGTGTCTACTAGGTCTGCTTTGCCCTGCGCACTCCACTTTTTAAATGTTTGCCGATTATTGCATGGAGGCAGTTTTGGCCAAGACGCAGAAACCATCATGGGTTATAACTTGGTGGGCCTCATTGGAAAGTGTAGGAATTAAATCGCACACAATGGTGGCATTGGCTGCACACACTTTCAACAACCCTGCGATAAACTCCGCGTGTGGGCCGTGTGTAGGATTACGTGTAGCGATGCACCGTTCGCCTACGTGAGGCTACTGAGCCCTTTGTATGTTGAACTGCTTTAGCACCGTACGCAGACAACCGTGATAATGGGAGGTGCGGATTTTGTAATTTCTCCTGCACAGTATCCGTGCCACAAGCTGCACCTCCCCTCCCTGGGAGAGGCCGGGAAGGGCGCGACCCACGGATTGAGAACTGCAGATTTAACTGATTAATCATTTCAACACTGGCAATGTCATCCACAATAGAGTTTTTTTGGGTTAGATCGCGTAAATATAAATACGTCGTGAAACCCGCCACCACACGACGCAGCCAATTAGTAAAGTTTTTCACGTAAACACAACGTGCCAATTCGTTACTAGTACAGCACACCGGTGTGTTGGAGAGTAAACCCCCAACATTTACAGTTCACAAATTGGTGGTGGCGGGTTTAACGCGACCTATACCAAAAACCTCTTGTGATTAATATTGGTCGTGAAAGCCTACATGTCAAACGTTGTTACATATTGTGTGTGTGTGTGGTTGCAATGTCTTGTGCCCTCTGGCTGTTGAATGAGAGAGGTCATTGTGTGAATGCGTCAAGGGCACAGTCAAATTTAGCGCTTCCCTTTACAGAACAAACTCACCTCATGCGTGTCACTTCTGCACACAAACGAAGTGGTTGTGAGCGGTCCGCCATCCTTTATTTAACCCCGCGACTGCCCGCTGAGATGCATTGCATCTCAAGAGAGACTACCTTGGTGACAAATCAATACAAATGGACAAACCATGGATCCGCCAATCTCAGCGGTGCCGATTCGGTGGCGCTGACGCGGCCGTTATTGACATTCTCGTGAAAGAGACATTGATATTACACATTCCTATGGCGGGGGCGAGTCTCTCCATGGGTTAACCGAGGTTGACTTCCCCACAGAGTGACACTCATTTTACCGACCGCCGCCTTGCAACCAGAATTTGAACTCGCAACTTTCGGATCGCGAGCTCTTCCGCCCCCCCCCCACCACCTCCCTCCGCGCTCTACCCTATGAGCCCGCCTGGCCGGATAAACACGCGAAGAAGGCACGTGAGAAATTCAACACCCTTATCTCTGCCAAGGTAGGACTGGCCCGCCCTCCGTAGATGCAGGGCAGAGATATTTCTAGCCGCTGGCTCAAGTGCTGTAAACAATGGAAAGGTGAGCAACAGCGCGCGTGACGCTCGATTTGAGCAAAAAGGTCACTTTGGCTTGACTTTGTGTGTTTGTTTTGCTCGGTTTTAACTTCATTTTTTGTTTGTCAAGTAAACCGAGAGAAACCCGTTCCAGCTTTTGTCCCGCGCCGACTGCCCCGTGCGCGGTTGTGGCGCGACGGCTCCACCCCCCCGGCCCCCCCCCCCCCCCCATTCCGTGCGCCGTGCAAAAAGCGGGGGGCGACAAAAAGCTGCAGCCCCTCTGCCTGCCGTGAAACGCTCGGCAGGTGTTTGACGAACCGAGCCAAGGAGGAGAGAGGTGGAGTTTGGCCGGCCGGTCGGCTTGCCTCGGGCGCACCGCTAGATTTTGCACGTTGAACTTGCACGTGTGTGCGCATGTTTGCGCAAGGGTGCCCGTTTCCGCCTTTTAGCTATCGCAGAGTTCGCTCGTCCCGGCCGATTGTTATTTATTTGCACGAACGCGATTGATGTCGCGCATTCGCTGTCGGCGCGTCGGTGAAGGTCGCCGTCAGCGTCTTGGCGAACGTGTCGGATTGGGCCTGCGACCGATGATAGCTTGGTGCACTTAGTGCCGCTCGCTTGCTTCCTTGTGCGTGACCGCACGTGCAAGCTGTTAAACTTGCATCACCGTGAGTCGCGCGCGGAGCGTTTGTGTGACTCAATATCTGACTCGATGTCTGTGCGTGCGCACGTGCATACGTGTGATGAGACAGACGAGTCTGTGTGCGTGTGTGTGTGCGTGCGTGTGATGAAACAGACGAGTGTGTGCGTGTGTGGGAAGCAGCGAAGGAGAGTGACTAGCGCGCAGTGCTTCGAACCCGGGGCGGCCTCGGTTTTGATTCCCGCTTGCGGCCAACACCAGTGGCGAATATCCAAACCGCTCATGGGCCTCCTCTAAGGTCGCCTCGGCTTTTAAACGGGCGGGTTAAGGCGGATGCGTTCAACAGCGGCACTGGGGAGACAAAGGCGGCCGTGCATGGGACAGGTCACACCGCTCCGTTCGTGCGCCATGATGGTTTTCACGGGTGCCTCTCGTCCCAGCCGCCTGTGTAGGTTACACGGGGAATGCTAATATTTTCTAACGTTGTTTCTAAGTGAGTGAGTGCGAGAGATGATGATGATGGGTGTGTTTTTATATAAAACAGAATCGGTGAGTTCAGGGCCACCAACCATGTGGAAACTGCCTTTGGTCAGCTCCACAATGCCACTTTTCCTGCAGACTACTGGTTTAACCAGCATCCATACACAACAACAACAAAGGCCTACATTTGCCACTAAGAGCCGGTGATGTCACCACGGCGCTTGTGCCAGGCTAGGTGCACTTTTTTGGCCTTTGGCCTCCAACGTCCATACACACTCGCTTTTCTCAGACATACGAATAATGACTAATCCCCCATGTAGAATTTGGCAAGCACCTTCAAAGTCTCGTACAACACACGAGCAAGTGGGTAGCCAAAACCACATCCTGCTGCTGCCTTTGGCTCCCCAGGGCTGCAGTTTACACACCGCAGTAGACTAGCCATTTAAGTCGAAGTCGACCTAGGAGAGGACCGGTTCAGATATTTGCAACCGTTATTCCTCGTGAGCGGGAATCGAACTCGGGACGCCGGGTTCGTCGTGCAGCGCGCTAACCGCTGCACCACCGCTCCCGACGAACACACAAGTGCGAGCACCTATTTAGAACCTTTCTTATTATTTCGCTTAATGTACCAAGACTGCGGTGCATACAGAGATCTGAAATGTGTCTTTGTCTCTGAAGCGAAGCTGGGCCAGGCGGTTCGCGGATGTGGGTGTGGTGGTGGGAAAAGTGCAGGCAGCGCGTTGCATAACGGGGTCCCCAGCCCCTTGTCCGTGTCATTATCACGCTATTTACGATGCTCAACCCCTGCCGCTTTGCGTAATTGTTTTTTTCTTACTTTTACGGAGGCTCGGGGAGTTGGGACGGATGTAGAGTTCCGTTAGCAGCATCCAAGATTCTTGGTCTCGAAACTGTTCAGCTCGTATTATTCTCTACCTTGTTGAAGGGGAAGCGGCGGTGGTGTGTGTGTGTGGGTCTGTGTGTATGTCAACTCAGCCTCAAATGAGTACCTGGGATGAGGAGTATGGATATCGCCGCTCGGGAAACAAAGGTGGCTGGGCGTGGTGTTAGCCTCACTAATTTAATAGTAAGGGGGACCCACCTGGGACCCCCCCCCCCCCCGACTCATAACTTACACGAGGGTCCATGCGACACACGCCACCACGCCGCTGGTATTCGTTTATTAACCCCTTTCTCCACACTGCAGAGCCTCCTCATTGTGCCCAACCTGTGGCGCCACGTGCTCTTGTACAGAACTCGCACAGAAGTGTAACGGGTGTGTTATATCTTGCGTAACGTCTTCAAACAATAGACTCCATCCATCTCGCGCACACGGCAGTAAACACGTGCAAACACAAGGGGTTAAAGTTGAGACTGCAAAGGAACTTCGGGGTGGCGCAACGCTTGACTGGTTAAGTTGCTATTAGGGAAGCCGATTGCCTACTCGATACTGTTCCCGGGAAATATTCCGTCTGTTCGAGAACTTTCCCGCCTGTTTTCGCGGCGACTGCAAAACCCCGAGAGACCGGTCGTCATGAGACTGTCCGTTGGGCTCGGCAACGCCACTGATAACAGCTGTGGACAATTTTGTTTTGTTTTTGCGCCACGAGGAGCGAACGGCGAACGTCTGCAACAAGCGGCAAACGCACCGCCGCCCGTCCACACGTCGCCGCCCCCCCCCACCCCCTCCAACTCGCGCGACTTACAAACCGCCGATTCCCACACCGACGATTCGACGCGTTCGCTCTCCGTCGACGGTCGGTCCCACGCGCCAGAGGTCCCAACCGGGTACCCGATACCCGTACCCTACCCGATACCCGGCTACCCGTACCCAGCCGGGTACGGGTAGCCGTTTGCGACCCTGGTGCGGCCGGGTACGGGTACGGGTAAGCCGTGAGTCACTGGTGAGTAACCGTTTGTCACTCATTTCGGGTAGGGTATGGGTAGGGAACGGCTACCCGTACCCAGCCAGGTACGGGTACCCATTTGCGACCCTGGTGCGGCCGGGTACGGGTAAGGAATCAAAACCCGTTTGCGACCTCTGCCACGCGCCTCTCCTAACGGTGGCGCCGCAAATTCCCGCTGTCGCCCACCGCAGAAAGAAAACTCGGCCGGACAAGGACAAGGAGAAGGAGCGGCGGAGCTGTCCCGAGGAGCACCGCGCCTACCTGGAGGGGGAGCTGGCGCGAGCCCGCATCACCGACACCGACTTCATCCTGCTCACCGCGCTCCCGCCGGAGATCGACCGCAACGAGTGGCTCGCGACGCACAGTACGGACGCGCACGCACGCACGTCCGCGCGCACGCGGCACTAACCCGGCGAGCCGAGCTCGATTTCCCGGCTCGCGGCCAACACCGGTGTAGATTATCTGAACCGGTTGTGGGCACTCCCCTAAGTTTACTCGGTCTCAAGATGAGAGTCCCGGTGCGGTGTGTGTGTAAACTTCACCGCTCGGGAGATAAACGTGGCTGGGTGTGGTGCTGGCCAACCCACCCTTTGGTGTGCCGTACCGGCCTTCATAGGTGTTCGCTAACAGCATTCGCCACAAAAGCCTGTTGAGGCTATACGGGGGATCTTTGTCTTTGTTTTTACTCTCATTGTTTGTCATTCTTTCCGCAGCAACAACATTTTTCAACTACATCAACCTGCAATACAGCACCATTTCTGAGTTCTGTACTCCTGATTCCTGCTCCACCATGTGCATAGGGAGCATGTGAGTAGCACCATCAACATCTCACAATACACACACTCAGATAAAGGTGCCCCATTTAATATAATTTTTTTATTGCGCTTTGTTGACCCAAGAAAGCCTCGCAGAGTTTCAAGATTATTTTCAGGATGTTCCTGCCAAGTTATTCGCAGTCGGGGGCGCGCTATGTTGCCGTTGCTCGTTTACAATCCCAATTTAGTTATTTGCAGGTACAGTAAAACCTTGGATTTTGAGCATAATTCGTTCTGGAAACGTGTTTGTAATCCAAAGCACTCGTATATCAAAGCACTCGTATATCAGTTGTGATCACGTGACGCTCGGCAGACAAAGCGTATACACGTACTACTCGTATTGCAAGACATCGCTCGTTTATCAAATTAATATTTATTAAAAAAATTTGCTCGTCTTGCAAAACACTCGCAGACCAAGTTACTCGCAATCCAAGGTTTTACTGTATTTTTTTTTAGGCATTGGGATGTTTGGCCAAAAACAGTTTCGTAGATTTTTTTGGTTTGTTTGGCTATGAGATGAGACGGTAGGACCTGGAGAAATTCCGTGCAGAACAGGGGAGAAGATTTCTAAATCCACGCAGAAAGGCGCCAGATAATAATACATCTCACCCCAGTCCTCTCATCTTGCTGTTAGCCACCAGAGTTACCGCTGGGCCACCCTGTCGCCCAAATCGGATCTACAGCCGGTCCAAAATGCTGCAGCCTGGGTCCTTGTTATGTATGTTGAACTTCTTTCGCACAGCACGTGGCCGACCGCGCTGATCCCGCTCTGCCATCTCCCCAGTGCTGGCCTCACTTCACTCGTTTCTCATCGACGAGCGTTGCCACTGCCAGATGCTTGTCCTCGTGGTCAAATCCACCCACAGCCTTGCCCCCCCTCACCCCTTCTGCTCACTACCCCTGTAACTTCCTCCACCCCCACGTAGCGGTCGCTCCCTCTGCTCCGTGAACTCTGCCCACCTCCTTGCTCGTAGCGTCCGGGGTGTGATGTCTGCGCGTGATGTCTGCACGTGATGTCTGCGCGTGAGGCCTGGGTGTGTGGCATCCAAGTTTAACTCCCTTGTGTGCGACGCCCGTGTCTGTGTGCGTGTAACGCCCGTGTGTGTGTGATCGTGTAACGCCCGTGTGTGCGATGCTTGTGTGTGTGTGACGCTTGTGTGCGCGTGCATGACGCCCGTGTGTGTGCGCGTGACGCCTGTGTGCGCGTGTGTAACGCCCGTGTGTGTGTGTGTGTAATGCCCGTGTGTGTGTAACGCCCGTGTGTGTGCGTGCGGTGTTGGTGTGTGCAGGCCCGTGCTGTGGCAGGACAGCGACCGGGGAAAGAAGACCAAGTGCACGGCTCCCCAGTACATCGACTGCGTCATGTCGTACGTGCAGAAGCAAGTGACGGACGAGAACACCTTCCCCACGAAATACGGTAACGACGCAGCTCTGCACCCCCCCCCCCCCCACCACCTAGCCAATGTTGTATTGGCTCGGACAAATACAATTTGAAAACCGTTCATAGTAAAATTCAGTTAAAGAAACGTCCACACAGATTTACGGTGATGATTGCACGAGTGACGGGGGCCCGCAACCCAAATAGCAAGAAGAGCCCCTTGTTTTGCGAATTCGGTAAAAAAAACCCTATATTTTAAGAGTCGCAATGCGCTGTGTGGTGAATACCAATAGACGGTGGAGCCGCAGTTTGCCGACTCCTTCGCGAGTGTGTAAACGGACTCAGATTTGTGTCGAATACAATTCAATCCTTCCCAAGTGTGTGCTTGTGCTAATCACACACACACACACACGACCCACCGAACATGAACTCCCGTGGTGCAGACGGACGGGCCGATGAGACAAATGCCTTGTGTAACTGCCTGTCCCAGGTGCTCGTGAAAGTGTCAAACGCAACTGCAAATGAAGTTGCACAGAATCGACATTCCACACGCACACACACTCGCTCGCTCATTTGACACACTCCCACGCAGTCCATTCCATTCCCCACTCCCCGAATAAGAATAATTCTCCCACTCCCCTTTTACTGAATCCTACTGGACATCTGTGAAAAAGAGCTTTCATGCCTCGTCGAATTTCTCCAATCTAAATAAAAGATTCTGAATCGTTCTAGATTTGAAGCTTTCGTGACTGCAAGGATTCATACTCTTAGTTCTTTCGGTAAAGTCACGTAGGTAAAAAATGAAATTAAAATTAATAAAAATAAAACAATAAAAATCACGACGTTTCGGAGGCAACACAAGCAACACAAGCTTCCGTCTTCACCTGAAGACGGAAGCTTGTGTTGCCTCCGAAACGTTTTATTTTTATTAATTTTTATTTCATTTTTTACCTACGTGACTTTACCGAAAGAACTAAGAGTATGAATTCTGAATCGTTCCCTCCTTTTCTCATTCCGCTCACCCCCCCCTTCCACCCCCCTTCCCCCCCCCCCCTCTGCAGGCCGCGACTTCCCCCCGTTGTTCGAGGCGCTGGTGCGGCGCGTGTTCCGCCTGCTGTTCCACGTGCTGGCGCACCTGTACTGCGGCCACTTCCGGCACGCCGTGCAGATGGACACGCATGCGCACCTCAACACGCTCGCGTGCCACTTCCTGGCGTTTGCGCGCGCGTTCACGCTGCTGCCCCCCCTTGACGAGATGGCGCCCGTGGGCGACCTACTGGACGCCCTCGCGTCGCCCCCCTCCCACCCACCGCTGCTCGGCTCCGGCCCCCTCTCTACGACGGACGATGAGGACGACGACGACGACGGCGATGGCGGCGCCGGTGAAGGTGGCGGTGGAGAGAGGAGATGGCGGAGTAGGGGGGGGGAGAGGAGAGGGGAGGACGGAGCGAGCGCCGGTGCCGTGGGGGCGGCCGCGGTGACGTCATCGCCCCTTGTCCCGCCGTCGACGCAGCAGAATCATGTGAGCGAGAGGTGAAAGGTCGGAGTTCAGGCGAAAGGTCAGGGTTCAGGTGAAAGGTCATGCTTTAGCAAACTTGAGTTAGTTGAAAGGTCAGAATTTGGCGGAAGTTCAGGGTAGAGATTCATGGTCAGGTGAAAGCCCGTTAGGGCTGGAGTCCGGGGTCTGTGTTAGGGTCAAGGTGTAGATTTGTGTTAGAGCAAGGTTAGGGTTCCAGTTATGGTCAGGAGTAGGTAGGATGGTTAGTGGCAGCCACCAGACTTTTATCACCATCATTATTATTAACTATTATTACAATATCACTATATTATTGTCGTACGTAATATTTGTATTCCTGCTGTTATAGTAGTCAATACATTTCTCGATATTATTTTCGTGAATTGTTTTTTTTTATTTTTCATTATTTCTGTTATTTATATGAACGTTATAAATAACTGTCCTTTCATTTGCGGCATCGCCACCGTTGTCGGCGCTCTTGTTATTTTATTTGTTCAAGTTATTATTAATCTCGATGGCGCTGTTGTTTTGGCTGTGATTTTTAGTGCCGTTCAAGTTTCATCGTTACTATTCCCGACGTGGCGATCGTTGACGTCGCGTTGTTCGCGCCCGTTTGTTGTTTTGGGTCTCATCCACGAGCGACAATTTTCCGTTCGTGCTCGCTGCCTTGGGAGATGGCAGAGGGGAGAGAGGCGGGGGGGGGGGGAGTGTTTTGAGTGGAAGTCGAGAAGTTTATGTTTTTGAATTAACGATGGGAAAAAGAGAGAGATACGCTCAGAGGAATGACTTTAAGCTCGAGTCACAACACTGGCACAATGGCATTCAACACGAGAACTGCACACGAACACACAGGATTTGCACACGCGCACTCACAAACACTTGCGTGCGTGTGTGTGAACGTATGAAAGAGAAACATCAACATTTCTCAATCCGAATTTTTGCACGTTTCTCTGGTGAATCCAGAATTTTCCTAACGGTAGCGTTTCCTCTCTTACACTCATTCCCAACCCAACCCATCATCTTGGTATTTGGTTCCCACATGGGTTTTTTTCTCCAGCTCTCCCCTAACCTTTCGCACCGTTTTCCTTTTGCGCCGTATTCCCCGTGCAAAATGTTTTCCCCCTCTGCCCCAGTACCACCACCAACTGGCCCCTCCCAGCGGTTTTCCTCTCTCCGTTGCGTCCCTTCCCAGCGGTTTATCTCCCCCGACCGTGTGCTCGAATGTTCCCTCAACCCTTTCCCTCCAACCCTTTCGCACACCCACAAAATCGTGGGATATTCACCCAGTTGTGACTGAAATGCTCCAATCACGTGTGATGTCCGGGAAAGAGTGGTTGAGGCCGATGGTGGCGGCGGCGGCGACGATGACAGAGAAATTTACATTTTCGACATCGTTATCACCACCACCACCACCACCGTCACCGTCGCTGCAGTTCCACAAAACAATCGCAAAACCTTTAAACTCTTCAACTCGGCTTTGCGCCACACTCCTGCTCCCTGTCCCATCTGGCGGGTGTGGCCTCACTTCCTGTGCACCTATGATGTTATTTCCTGTGATGTCACTCGGCCAGCCACGAGTGGATTTGAGTAAATTGCGGAGGTGTCGGCTAAAAAAGTGAGCGAGTTTCCATGCCCGGCAGGACAGCGCGAAAGGGGAAGAATAGGCTTTAATCTGAAATTCAAACGAGTGATTCAAAAGTCTGCGACCTTTTCCGAGGTGAATGTTCATCCCTTTTTGCCACGTTTCCTCCAGGCCTCCCCCCCCCCCAGCGTTCACCGCATCTGGGGCTTTCGGAAAGCCCGAATTAGAAGCGATGGTGATATAAATATTTACAACAATGTTACGTGCTTGGCTGAATTTACAAATGGATGGGAAAAACTGCAGTATAACTACATAGACTATAAATATGGTTAGTAAATTGCCATGATATATTAATGATTGCGTCGTAGCATCAACACTGATATGTCTCGGTTAAGTAAAATTATGGCATCGCTCAATAGTTCTCTTAAATTTTCCATTGCACAAAAATATATATGAACTGTCCTCCAAAGATGACATTCTTTAAAGCCACCGTAGCTTAAAATAAAAGTGAACTTTACTTTAGAAAACCAGTGCAGCGCTACACTGAATAACTAAAAACGCAAGTGACATCGTTAAGTTGAAGTGGTATCATTGTAACACACGCACACATGCACACATGCCAACACACAAACGCGCGCGCACACAAAACACCCTGCCGGGCCTACCCAGCAAGTGCAGATTCACTGTATATGTACTATAGCTAAAGCGTCTGTAGATAACAAGTATAAATATATTAAATTAAACTTTTAAAGAAACCTAAGATCAGGAGATGGCACGGGGGCGGCGGCGTGCTGTAAGAGACGATGGCTGGAAACAGGAACATTTCCAGCGCCACTTTTGTCGGCGAAAATGAACGGCCCACGTTTTGCGGGGGGGGGTGGGGGGAGAAAAATCACAAAAATTGTTTCGCTTTCTTGAGCCTCGAGTGGCTTTGGGGATTTCATTTGTTTTATTTTTTTGACGATTGGAACCCCCCACCCCCCGAAATGTGTTGTTGTTGATGTCAGCGTGCGGACTCGGAGCGAAAGCGCTGACAGTAAACGGAAGATGAAAGCCAGCGTCACGGCGTCACGTTGCGCGTTGTAGGGGAGCATCCGACGATATGTTTAAAACCGATCGTTACTGACGGGTGAGCGGTAACGATGAGTGAATTCGCGAGGCCATCTTCGACGTCACGACGACATCATCGATTTTTTTTTGTGCGCAAATGAGCGATGATCGGAACAAAGTTTTTTTCCACAACACGTGTAGAAACATGGTCTTACCGTGCTCGCCGCAAGAGGTCAACCACCGTTATCGAAGCTAATGAAAGTAAACCGGTGCAGCGGCAATGACATTTCGTTGCGAAACAGGATGTTGTTGACAATTGGAAAACAAAATCACTTTGGCCGGTTGTTGGGTTGACTCGTATCCATTGTCCGCGTGTTCCAAGGAAAGACCCTGGAGTAAGTGTCGCAGGGCAACTTCCGATTCCTTCCTGGGCACGTCTGATTCAATACCCAACCGCTCGACAGTGCGTTCTTCACCGCACGGTGATTTTGTGTGTCAGCATTGTGCCTCTGACCAGTGTCGAGACATCGGCTTATTTGAGTTAAGTGTAAAAACCAATCTCTACGGTTGGCGTTTGTTTTCCTTGCGTGATGATAAGCGATTGGGCCGAGACCCTGGACTCCGCTAGAGAACCCGGTGTAATCAGTGGTGGCTTCCACCTGGATTTGAACCCAGACTCCGTGCGCTGACACAGCCATTGAGCCCTCCTGAAGGCAGTTGTCCACAGCAATTTGATTTGTTGTTGTTGTTGCAGCAATTATTTGTTGTTTTGAGTTTTCATTACCGGGGGCATTCCATGACTTCTTTGGCCAATGCTGATAATGATTTTTTTTGTTTTCCTGAGAAAAAGTGTTGACTTCTTTCACCTGCTGTCGATTTTAGCTCGATGCGTCTTTGACGAGCAACAGGGGACTTATCTACCCTGCAATAAAAATTACAGATTTTTGTCCGGTATCTCAAGCAAGCTTGGATTGCAGACGTTACAACTGGCGATTCTTTAATCTCTAGGTCCTTAATAGCTCCCCGCACAGGCTAACTGCGGTGACCGATCGATATTCCGTGGGTGTGAATTTACCGTGCCCCCCCCCACGCTCTCTCACCTTCTCCGGGCACACGCCGGGGTTTATTGGCTGCTCCTCACTCGCCCAGTTGGTCATTGCCGATTACTTTAAGAAGCAATGAAAATAGGTGACGTGTGCTTCGTCTCTCCTTACGTTCTATATAGCTAACAATGTATGGATAGATTAATTCGTATATGTTTTGCATTTTCCTTGTTTTTTGTTGTTTAATCTGGGTCAGCCCTTCTCACCGTTTTTACCCCCTGGATAATCGAGAGTTGGACGTACATTTACACGTGCGCTTGTTCGTAGGTTCATTGGTAGCACTTCTGTAGAACAGAAAACTCAAGCACCCCTCACGAATTGTCACAATGCCCCGTTTCGCATGTAAACTGTCAGCGACGTTGAGAGCGCACCCTACTTTAAACTGCACGAATGTTTCGGGACCATAATACTGTGTCGGCGAAATATTCAAGGCTGAATGAATGAAAAACGTTCCTACAGTATTTTTGGATAATTCGTTTTTTTTTGGTTTGTTAAACTGCAGTTGTACTCCTTAAACAAAAACTGATTATTTTAATTGTTTCTAAGTTGCACTTGGCCGTCAATTCCTTGCACTAACTGTGCTCGAGTGTATAGTTTTTGGGGGGTTGGGGGAGTGTTCGTGTTTGGTTTTGTGTTTTAATTTTATTTGAATATAGGGGGGCGGTCGGGGTGGTCCTCCGTGGTTTGAGACACGGCGTGGTTTTCACATGAGGGCGTTCGCGTCGCTCTTCTCTGTGTTGCATAATTTGCGTTAAGTTTTTTTGAGTATCGAGGGGCGATGGAGGATGAGGAGGACCCGGGGGGGGGGGGTGCTGCTTTCGAGGGGAGAGAACATGGCCACGATTTTTGTTCCATGCTGCTTTGTAAATAAAAGTTCTATCCAAGCCTTGGCCTCCACTGAGCTCGTTTCATCGCTGCCATCTCCGCGGAGCGAACGTCCTCTCTGGTGTGTTCTCGACTTTAATTGCCGCTCGTCCTTCGTCTCGACCCACCGACCGTCGTCCCGACCGGCGACGATGTGTCTAATGCTGCTTGTTGATAAAACAAGTCCTATCCAAGCGTTGTCCTTCATTCCCTGGATGGTGGTTGTCATGGTGCCAAGCCGTTTGTCTCTTATCAGACAGCTATGATCAATCAACTGCTGGATGAAGGTCTCCCAAAAGCCATCGTGTCTCATCATCCTGCGATGCCGTTGTCCATCTCGTACCTGCACGCGAGCTGATTTCATCGTGGCATCTCCGTGGCGAGCGCCTACTCTGGTACCTTCCATCCTTCGGCTGCAACTCCATCGTTAGTCTTGACCACCGGTCATCGTCGCTTCCAGCCATGGCGCGCGTCCTGTCCGAGCCCAACCCACGTGCTGTTTGACCCACGTGCTGTCTGACCCGCGGGCTGTCCGACCCGCGTGCTTCTCTTCCTGTCTCTCGGTGTCCATTCCAAACGTGCATCTCGGTGGATGTCTCCCGCTCGGTTTTTGTTGTGGTTGTTACTTCCTCGACGTTTCTTTTAAAAAGATAAACATACAATCTTCACTCTTCCACATCCGGTGAACAGCGAACATTGCCACCACCGCCCCTATCACATGGTCACGTGGTGATGTTTTTCAATATTGAAAGTTGAGCGACAAGGGTGGGATCAGTGGTAAAACCACTCGTGCCTCGCAGCAAGAAGAGTCCTGAGTTCTATTCCCCGTCTCGGGCCGCCTTTCTGCGTGGAGTTTGTATGTTCTGCGTGGAGTTTGTATGTTCTGCCCATGTCCTGCGTGGAGTTTGTATGTTCTGCCCATGTTCTGCGTGGAGTTTGTATGTTCTGCCCATGTTCTGCGTGGGGTTTGTATGTTCTGCCCATGTTCTGCGTGGAGTTTGTATGTTCTGCCCATGTTCTGCGTGGGGTTTGTATGTTCTGCCCATGTTCTGCGTGGAGTTTGTATGTTCTGCCCATGTTCTGCGTGGGGTTTGTATGTTCTGCCCATGTTCTGCGTGGGGTTTGTATGTTCTGCCCATGTTCTGCGTGGGGTTTGTATGTTCTGCCCATGTTCTGCGTGGGGTTTGTATGTTCTGCCCATGTTCTGCGTGGAGTTTGTATGTTCTGCCCATGTTCTGCGTGGAGTTTGTATGTGCTGCCCATGTTCTGCGTGGAGTTTGTATGTTCTGCCCATGTTCTGCGTGGAGTTTGTATGTTCTGCCCATGTTCTGCGTGGAGTTTGTATGTTCTGCCCATGTTCTGCGTGGAGTTTGTATGTTCTGCCCATGTTCTGCGTGGAGTTTGTATGTTCTGCCCATGTTCTGCGTGGGGTTTGTATGTGCTGCGTGGAGTTTGTATGTTATGCCCATGTTCTGCGTGGAGTTTGTATGTTCTGCCCATGTTCTGCGTGGAGTTTGTATGTTCTGCCCATGTTCTGCGTGGGGTTTGTATGTGCTGCCCATGTTCTGCATGGAGTTTGTATGTTCTGCCCATGTTCTGCGTGGAGTTTGTATGTTCTGCCCATGTTCTGCGTGGGTTTCTCAGCTTTTCTCCTGTAGCTATAAAAAACACATTGTAAGGCTCACAATTTGCCTGGTGTCGGCCAGAACTTCCCAATGTTTGAAAAATTACCTGCAAATGAACTCGTTTTGGGATTTACACAAGACGAAGACAAAAATTCCACCCGTATAGCCTTAACAGACTGTTGGGGCAAGTGCTGTTAGCCAGTAGCACCACCTATGAATGCCGTAACGGGCACACGAGGGGGCGGGTGTCCAACACCACGCCCGGCCGCCTTTGCCTCCCCAAGTGGCGATGTTTACACACCGCACCAGGTACTCATTTGTGGCTCAGTCGACCTAGGGGAGGCCCAGGACCGGTTAAGATAATCAACAGTTGTGTTGGCCGTGAGCGGGAATCGATCTCTGGTTACCGGCTTCTGAGCGCGGCGCGCTAACCGCTGCACCACCGCTCCCCACACGCAGGCACAGCAAGCAGCAACATCGCCCCCTGGCTACAGAAACACAAACTTGTCAGGAGCCTCTTGAAGAACGTGATGGTAACGGAGAACCCCTCTGAGCGACCACCCCTGTTAACGACTAATTGCTTAACAGGCCTCCATAGAGCCCAGTGTCTAGTGTAGTCTAAAGTAGTGTATAGTAGAAGCCCAGTGTATAGTGTAGTGTATAGTAGTGTAGTGTATAGTGTAGTGTATAGTAGTGTAGAAGCCCAGTGTGTAGTGTAATGTATAGTGTAGAGTAGAAGCCCAGTGTATAGTGTAGTGTATAGCAGAGGTGGGACAAAGTCATTGTTATGCAAGTCCAAGTCGAGTCTGAAGTCATCAAATTCATGACTCGAGTCTGACTCGAGTCCAAGTCACACGACTCGAGTCCACACCTCAGAGGTGGGACAAAGTCATTGTTATGCAAGTCCAAGTCGAGTCTGAAGTCATCAAATTCATGACTCGAGTCTGACTCGAGTCCAAGTCACACGACTCGAGTCCACACCTCAGAGGTGGGATAAAGTCATTGTTATGCAAGTCCAAGTCGAGTCTGAAGTCATCAAATTCATGACTCGAGTCTGACTCGAGTCCAAGTCACATGACTCGAGTCCACACCTCTGGTGTATAGTGTTGTGTGTAGTGTATAGTAGTGTAGTGTAGAAGCCCAGTGTGTAGTGTAGTGTATAGTGTAGTGTATAGTAGTGTAGTGTATAGCGTAGTGTATAGTGGTGTAGTGCCTCCATAGAGCCCAAAATGTTCGCTTACCGACCATTCACCTGTTAACGACGGGCTGTTGTAGGTACAATCAATGTTAATTAATGCATTGATTCACCATGTTTCTTTGAATAGTATGCGTTTATAACGTTGATAGTATCTTTACGCATTAATATTCATTGCTCAAATATATTGTAGAGTGCGGTTTTTTTGAGTAAAAAAAAGGGGTATAAACTTTAGATGCCATCGGAACGAATTAAGCCTTTAACGTGCGCTTCCTATACTCGCTTAACGACCAAATCGCTTAAAGACCGGTATCATGGAACCAATCACCGTCGTTAAAGAGGGGGGGGGGGGGGTGTTCTCCTGTATTTCAACAAAAAAAGCCGCAGTGATAGTTGAGTAATAATTAGCGACGCCGAGAATATAAACAACAAACAAGTTGACTTCACAAATCATTCATCTGTCTGCACGACTCGTTTAAAGTGTGGCCACGTGGTCGCGGCCACGTGGTCGCGCCAACAGCCATCGCCGGTTCCGGGACACCTGGGACCGAATGTTCCGGATTATAAGACGCACTGATGATTCTAAGACGCACTGATTGTAAGACGAACTGATTGGAAGACGCACTGATTATAAGACGCACTGATTAGAAGACGGACTGATTCTAAAACGCAGTGATTGTAAGACGCACTGCTTAGAAGACGCACTGATTGTAAGACGCACTGATTGATTAGAAGACGCACTGATTGATTGTAAGACGCACTGATTAGAAGACGCACTGATTGATTGTAAGACGCACTGATTAGAAGACGCACTGATTGATTGTAAGACGCACTGATTAGAAGACGCACTGATTGATTGTAAGACGCACTGATTAGAAGACGCACTTTCAAAAGCAAAAATTTGGGGTGGGTGGGGGGGGGTCTTGCAATCCGGTCGGTGTATGTGAGACACAGGGTGCGTCTTATAATCCGACTCGGCAGCCTGCACGTAAAGGATCTCTCCGTACGGTCGCGCGAGGATGTCGTGAAGACGATCGGCGGTGTCGTGAAACGGCACCTCCCTCCTCCCTCCCCAGGCAGGTTCGATTCCTGCCGTCCTCGACCCGGTCTTTTACATTTTTATTTTTTTTAAACTTCACGATGTCACCCTCGTCGCGTGAGCATTTTATTGTGCGTCGGTCGTAGCGGAGAGAATTCTGGACGAAAATAATTCTGGGTGGGTGGCGGTGGTTGTGGTTGTGGTGGCGGGTTCTGTGATTATCTCCAGCCTCGGATAGCTTGGAGGCCGTTCTAGTGATGAAATTTTTCATTCATTAATATCACTGGTCAACACGCTTTTCTGGCATAAGGTATTCCAATGGTTTTAATGTAATTTAAGGGGTGCTGATTCCAAATCTGGCATCAGTTTTTGTCTATCACATCAGGTTTTTGAGATGTCAAATATTTCATTTTCAATAAAAACTGCAGAAGAAAAATATTAAATAAATGTGGATATCTACATAAAATGATATTATATCCTAAAAATACAGCACCATATTTTAACACTAAAGCAGTCACCGACTCGCAACAACTTGCAATCATAAGTGACATAGTTAATTTCGGGTAAAATCAATGAAAATGGGGTATGCCGATAGCATAAAAATTAGATGTGATAGAGCAAATCTGAGATCAGATTTGGAATCAGCACCCTGAAATTAGTCTAAAACAGCTGCAAAAGTCCAGGCCAGAAAAAAATGATTTTTTTTGTTGACCAGTGTAATTCACGTGGCACAACAATAACATGACAGTACCACACGTATGTATATATGTGTGTATGTGTGTGTATATATCTGCGCGGATAATGCGATTTTCCAGGGTGGCTACAGTCTGTCTGCGATGCATTGCGGGTAGCCCAGCGCATCGCCCTGCACGTGACCATGGGGGTAGGTGGATCACGCAAAGACGTGGCGAATCTCCACCGCGTGCAGGAAGCCATGCCCTGGGCTCGCAGGGAGAAGGCAAAGAGTGCAGCAGCAGCAGCAGCAACGTGGACTGAGCGACATCTGATTAAGCCGGTTGCAATTGCTGGCGAAACGTCGGACTCTGTTTGTGAATGTTGTGGCTTGGCTCTCCAACACACACCGGTGTTGATGTACTCGTGACGAATTGGCCACGTTCTTGTTGCCAGATAGAAGGGTAAAAAACCAATTATATTTTTACTGGCAAATGAGGTTCCAATGGTGGCCACGTTCTGTTTACGTGACAGCCCTGACTATCGAGAGGTTTTTAACGACACATTTATATATTTAGGCGAACTAACACAAAAAACCTCTATTATGGATGATATTGGTCGCGAAAGGCTACGTGTTAAACTGATCGCCATCTTTCGATTTAAAGCTTTCGTGACTGCAGGGATTCATCGTCTTGGTTCTTTCGGTAAAGTCACGTAGAATGGAAATAAAAAAACATAATAAAATAATTCTCACAACGTTTCGGCCACAACACAAGCAGCCATCCTCAGGTGGAGAACAGGTCTGTCGAGGAGACAGAGTCTGACTATTTTTTTTCCATTCTACGTCACTTTACCGAACGAACCAAGAAGATGATCGCCATCTGTTTGCACTTGAACGGGATCGAGCGTTGCGCCCTCTCACACGCGCGGGGGGGGGGGGGGGAAGGCGTCCTTGGTGTGCTCCGGATTCCTCCCTACGCCGAATAGACAATGAATTCGACGCGTAAACACAAGAGTCGGCTTTCGCGACCGATTTCCACAAAGCAGGGGTTTTTTTTGTCGGTTAGATCACGTAAATATATAAATGTGTCGTAAATGTTTGTTGTGGCCTTTGCTCTCCAAAACACCGGTGGTGCTTGTTCTTGTAACGAATTGGCACGTTATGTTTACGTGACAAGCCCCTTACTAATTGGCTGTGTCGGGTGGTGGGCGTCCGGGTTTAACGACACACATTTCTATTATTTACGCGACATGACCTCAACAACAACAAAAAACCAGTTCGATGGATAATAATTCAATGCTGCACGGTGGCACAAAACGTTTACGGTAGAATCGGTCTCCGCGCCATCCACCAGAGGTCGCAAACGGGGTTTGATTCCTTACCCGGCTACCCGTACCCGGCCGCACCAGGGTCGCAAACGGGTACCCGTACCCTACCCGATACCCGGCTACCCGTACCCGGCCGGGTACGGGTAGCGTACGGGTATCAGGTACCCGATTGCGACCTCTGGGATGAAGCCATGTTGCAGGCGCGGGTGGGTTGATTCTAGGAACTTGAATTGTGAGAAGAGACAAGATGTTGGGAAATGAGTGACAAACGGTGACTCACCAGTGACTCACGGCCTACCCGTACCCGGCCGCACCAGGGTCGCAAATGGCTACCCGTACCCGTACCCGGCCGGGTACGGGTAGCCGGGTATCGGGTAGGGTACGCACCGTGTCGGCTTCAGGAGGCAAGCTGAGGTCTCACCCGCAAACTCTGAACTCGGGAGTCTGTGTGGTTGTGCGTGCCTCTGTTAGCGTGCCGCGGTGTGTAAAAATATCGCCACTGGGGAGACAAAGGCGGCCGGGCGTGGTGCTGGCCACCCATCCCCTCGTTGTGCCACAGTGTCGTCCCTTCATCGGTTGCTACTCGCTAACAGCACTTGCCCCAATTGTCTGTTAAGGCTACACGGGGAATCTTTGTACGCGTAATGTAGCGGTTAGCGCGCTGCGCTACGAACCCCGGCGAGCCGAGTTCGATTCCCGCTCACGACCAACACCAGAACCGGTCCTGGGCGTCCCCTAGGTCGATTCCGCTTCAAATGAGTACCTGGTGCGGTGTGTAAAAACATCGCTACTGGGGGAGACAAAGGCGGCCGGGCGTGGTTCTGGCCACCCACCGCCTCGTGTGCCACAGCGCCGTCCCTTCACCGGTGCTACTCGCTAACAGCACTTGCCCCAACAGTCTGTTAAGGCTACACGGTGAGATCTTTGTCTTTGTCTGTACGCGTGAAGGTCTTCTTCCGTCTGCCGTCCTCGTGAACTCCACCACCACAGCCTGGCGATCGATCTCCTGCGTGCCAGAGTCGTGTCCACCAGCGTTTAACCCTCGCAGAAACTCGTCCAAAACCACCGAACCCTCCGCTGACATTGGCTTTTTCCCCCCAAACGGTGGGGCTTGACGACTCCGCTTGCACCCAACAGGTCCTTCAGCTTACCACGAGGCGAGCGAGTCACAGAAAAACTATTGAACAACAAACAACATTCTAGATTTGAAGCTTTCGTGACTGCAAGGGTTCATATTCTTGGGTTTTTTCGGTAAAGTCACGTAGGTAAAAAATGTAAATTAATTAAATAAAAATAAAATAAAAATCACGACGTTTCGGAGGCAACACCATCTTCCGTCTTCAGGTGGAACCGTCACAGCACGCTCGCTGTATCAAGTAAATGAGAAATTCCAAGAGATCCGACCCCGTATATATACTGGTTGAGGGGGGAGGAGCCAGGACAGGCCCCCTTTTTATTATTATGGTAAGGTTGGTGCGGCTGAAACTCCGGCTAGTCTACATAACAAAGGACTGAGCCTTTGTTTTTTTACCTACGTGACTTTACCGAAAAAACCCAAGAAAACAAACCACATCCTGCGGCTGTCTTGTTCCGCATGGCCCTCTGTATAGAGTAACGGTGAAAAGATGAAGTTGTAGTTGATATTTTAAAACGGAACAGGAGGAGTTCTCCACAAATCTGGGCTGCCGCCTGATGACGCTGGGGTTTAATTACTGGCGAAACGTCACGGTACCCGAATTGTAAATGTGAGTTTACTCTCCAACGCACAAGCGGCGTGCCGATCTAGTAACGAATTGGCACGCTCTGTTTACGTGACAAACCTTACTAAATTGGCTGCGTCGGGTGGTGGCGGGTTTGACGACACATTTATATTTACGCGATCTAACCCCTAAAACCCCCTCTGTTATGAATGATATTGCTTGCGAAAGCCTCCTGCGCGTTAAACTGAAATGTAATTGAGTTAGCCAATCAGTGGCTTTGCCCGAGAGTTGTTGAATTGCAGATACGCCCACGTGTTCACCCACCACCTTCACGTGCGTATTTGTAGGACTAGTGCGACGTTGCAGGCTCGTAGCCGCAGTTACACACAGGAGAACCTTTGCGCCCAATACGTACGAAACGTCTCGGAGCCCAGTTTTCTTGTATCCTAGGGGTCCCCTTGATGGCAATTGTCTCTATGCATGCACCTAACAGGTGAGCTGACTTTAGAAGCTGAACTTTTCCTTGTATTACCGTTAACGCGAGTGTTAAGGGAGTCTTGACGTTTACAGAACACACGCGTGACGACCGAGAAGTAAAGATCCTTCATTTAGCGTTGTCGACTCGAGGTGTGGACAAATGCGGCTACCAATCGTTACCAACATTCCCCTCGCTGTAGACACACAGATAGACCTGTAGGGCACACACACACACACCTGTAGGGCACACACACCTGAAGGGCACACACACACCTGTAGGGCACACACACACCTGTAGGGCACACACACACCTGTAGGGCACACACACACACACCTGGAGGGCACGCACACACACACCTGTAGGGCACACACACACACCTGTAGGGCACACACACACACACCTGGAGGGCACGCACACACACACCTGTAGGGCACGCACACACACACACCTGTAGGGCACACACACACCTGTAGGGCACACACACACCTGTAGGGCACACACACACACCTGTAGGGCACACACACACACACACCTGTAGGGCACACACACACCTGAAGGGCACACACACACACACCTGTAGGGCACACACACACACACACCTGTAGGGCACACACACACACACCGGTCGTCGCCACCAACGCCACGATGTCGTCGCTCCTGCGCCCGCCGCGCACGGCGAACGTGGAGAAGATCGAGCAGCGAATCGTCATCAAGTTCCTGTCCAAGGAGGGGAACAACGCCAAGCAGATCCACGAGCGCATGCTCGCCGTGTACGGCGCCGGGGCGCCCAGTTACCCGACGGTGGCTCGATGGTTCGGCGAGTTCCGGCGCGGACGCGAGTCGATCCAGGACGGCCGGCGCTCGGGGCGGCCCTCGGAGGCGGTGAACGAGGGCACCATCGCGCGCGTCAAGGCCATGGTGGCACGAGACGGGCGCATCAAGGTGTCCGACATGGAGAGGGAGGTGGGCATCTCACACGGCAGCGTGCTCACCATCCTGCACGAGCACCTGGGGCTGGCCAAGGTGTCGGCGCGGTGGGTGCCGAGGCGCCAGTGCCATGGGCCGGAGGAAAACGGGCCGCTGAACGGCGTGGCGGCGGTGGCGGCGGCGGTGATGATGGCGGAGGAGGAGGTTGTGGAAGGAACGACGGTGGAGGAGGAGGAGGGAATGGAGAAGCGTGGAGCCACGGGGCGATCGCCGGCGCCGTCGTACCTGAAGACGAAGGGGAGAGGGAGATTGGACACGAGCGGTGATGGGGGAGCGGGAGAGAGGCGCGTGGGGAAGTGATGACTGCTATGAGGCTGCTGATGGGCTTGACCTAATCCTGACCATGGCAATAGAACCCTAACACAAGCAGGAACTTTGAAACTAGCCCTTGCACTACCAATAGCCCTGATGCTAGCAACAACCTTGACTCGAGTGATAACACGAAATCTAGCCCTGAGAAAACCCTGACAACTAGCGCTTACATTTGCCCTAGCAGTAACCCTGACACAAGCAATTTCCCGTGCAGCCATCCCTGACAAGTGATAGTGTTAGCCATAGCCGTAACGGTAAACCTAACCCCAAACCTAAAAATAATCTAATTAACTTTATATAGCATCGTTCATGCAAATTGCATCTCGCAGTCACCGAGGAACCACAGACCATGCTGGAAGGCTGCCAGGGTGGTGAGTCGGTGCCAACAATTGCTCTGCAGTTCTCTATATCTTCTTGGTTCTTTCGGTAAAGTCACGTAGAAGGGAAGTAATAAAATAATAAAAATAAAACAATAAAATAATTCTCACGACGTTTCGGCCACAATGCAAGCAGCCGTTGTGGCCGAAACGTCGTGAGAATTATTGTATTATGTTTTACTTTTATTATTTTATTACTTCCCTTCTACGTGACTTTACCGAAAGAACCAAGAAGATGAATCCCTGCAGTCACGAAAGCTTTAAATCGAAAGTTCTCTAAATATTAAAATGTTTTCAGCCAATGGGGTGAGTGTTTATACTCCAATGTGTGAGAGGAAACCCACAGATACAGGCGGCAACACTATCCCTCGATCTCATCAAGAAGGGACGGATGATATCAGTCGACATCTTGCTGTACTGAATTCTGCTGGGGTCTTGCACCTCGACGAATCATTGTCGTTCGTGTGATACACCAACCCCCGTTGCCACGTGCAGAGCCACCACTACTGTCCCTGAACCGAGCCCGCAACTTACATTCTGGCCCCTAAATCAAATGTTCAGGTGTCACTCTAAACCTAAAACCGAACCCTTAACATAACCTCAAAACCTTATGAACAATAGCCCAGACACCAACCTATTAACGTTAACCCAAAAAGCTTACCCCAAACATAACACGAGCTTCAAATCAGCCCAAACCCCTTTGCAAAATATTCACACTAACCATAACCTACAGCCCATACTCTCACAGTAACCTATTTGCTGCATTGCTGTGCTGGTTTTTTTGTTATTTTGTCATTTTTCTGACCTCATGCCACGCTTGAAAATGAGACCTTATCCGGTTGAACAAAATACACTTCAAGAAAACCTCTAACCCATGTTCAACTCAACCCCAACCAAACCATTGAATTAATCCTAAACAATAAAACTACCCACACCCCTCGCCCTAAAGCCCTTTACAGGCAACCCACGCATGCACCCGTAAGATAATTGGTTCCTGGACGACGGTCGTAAGTCGAAGCCGTTGTAAGTTGAAGCCTCGTTTCCCATAGGGCGCAATGTTATACATTGGGGTTCCGTTCCTGGAAACCCGTGACAGTACCATAAAATACCAAAATTGAGCACGAAAATACTGAAAATAACCAAAACTAACATTGTAACTGAACATAACTTTTACAAACATTTAAGTTAAAACAATCACATTTGAAAATACTTTAGTACTTTTCTGCATGCGCATCGCATTTCCTTTTCTCGGACATAGCAAAAGGCGAAAAAACCTACAAATTTGAAGAAAATTTTCTAAAAAAGTGAAGACCGTTGCGAAAGAGACGCCGCTTGCTTCCGCCCTCTCCGCAGCTGCAGATTGACGGGCTACAGGGGTGGGGAACGTCCGGCCCACGGGCCGTAAGAGGCCCGCGAAATCATTTGGTGTGGCCCTGCCAAGGCAGCCGCAGGCGGGACTCGAAATTCAATGAATCTCGGAGCAAACGTGGAAAAGCAGTTGCGAGTAGCAGCAGCAACATCATCAATAGCAGCAGCTAACATCATCACACGCCTCGCCAAAGAGAAGCGGTTCCAGCCATCACATTAGGGGACGAGTTAATTAAATGTTTGACCAAATATAACAACAGGCTAATTTTTAAGTTGATCATTTTGTACGGCCCGCGAACGATGTTACAAATATCCAAATGGCCCTTGGCAGACAAAAGGTTCCCCATCCTTGGGCTACACTGCGCGCACGCATGCGGCGGGAGAGCAAAGCAGTGGCATCATCTTCTTGGTTCTTTCGGTAAAGTCACGTAGAAGGGAAATAATAAAATAATAAAAATACAACGTAATAAAATACAATTCTCACGACGTTTCGGCCACAACGCAAGCAGCCGTCCTCAGGTGAAGAACAGGGCTGTCGGACAAACAGCGTCGGACGCTGTCTTTCCGACAGACCTGTTCTTCACCCTATTTCCCTTCTACGTGACTTTACCAAAAGAACCAAGAAGATGAATCCCTGCAGTCACGAAAGCTTTAAATTGAAATTCAGCGCCATCAGGCAGCGTGCGTGCACATGTGACGCGCGCTCTGGTCGCCAATCGACTCTGCGTCAGTAGCGGTTGTTAGGCGGTCGTAGGAACGCGTTTTGGTCGTTACAATGGGGGTCTTGCTACAAAGAAGGTCTAAAGTGGAGCCGTCGTTAAGTCGGGAGTCGCCTGTATGTTTTGTCCGGTTGACTTCTTTGAATGAGTGTGTTGATGCTAAGTGTTCATGCAGCGGTCCACTTCTTTCACTCCACAATTATAATATCCCGTGTCTCGTTACGGGGAACTTTTCGGCCCGTCCGCTCGTACGCGCTCTTGGCTACTGAACTGTTTGGTGGTGATGAGACTGCTAAGAGGAGACCTGGGAGATTGTTCTAACCTCTTTTGCATTGTAGCAGAAGGAAAAAATGGTCAGTGACGAGTGGTGGTGGCATCGGTGGCGATGACTTCTTGGTCCTGAATGCAGAGACGGGCCCTGCTTTAAAAGTTCTTAACGCGACCACTTGAAATGCTCTCCCGTGCAAATATGTCACAGATTCTGTAACTCTATTACCCACGTTTTGCTTTACTACGATGATCTTGTGAAATATCACTCTCGCTTTGCCGCGATGGCCGTTCACGTTGGCACCGGCTATTGCTACGTTTTGACGCCGGGTCGTTTCCCTTGTATCGTCATGTTGTGATGCTCGCCGTCTTAACTAAAACAACCGCACTATAATATTTAACCGTCCGTTGGTGGAGTCCTTGATTTAATAGTGCGAAGAAGATTCGTCTCTTGTTGTTTTGCTCACCCTGCCGCGACAAGGCGTTTTCACGCCCAGCGCCGCTCAACTCTGGACCTTGACACCGTTCCCTGTCTTCCTACGAGGTCGACTTAGCCGTAAAATTGGTCCCTGGTTGCGGTGTGTAACCATCTGCAATGGGAGAGGAGATTAGGACGGGTAGGCGTGGTGCTGGCCACACCACCCGCTCGTGTGCCTTTGGCTGCCTTCATTGGTCGTTCACAAACAGCACTTGCTCCAACAGCCCGAAGAGCCTTTACGGGGGATCTTTGTATGTACACGAGGAAAGACGTTTGGAGAGGGACCAGATGCTTTGTTTCTGGCAGCGCTTAAAGTGGAAGGTGGCCGATGAGCAGCGGGATGTTTGTGTCTATTTCGGCCTTCGTTGGAGTGAAAAACAAAACGTCGAGGACATCAAATGAATGTTCCGTTGTCGTTGGAGGAATCAACATCGAAATCAAAACATCCACGTAGCGGAACCAAAACATCGATGTCACCGATTATTTTAAATTTTGCTCATCCCTACTCCACCATACATACACATTCATACTATACAGGTAAGAACAACAGTTCCACACTGCCCACCAGGGATTATTTGTCTGTCTGTCGTGCATAGCCCCTCCCAAACATGTACGCTCCCGGATTGGTTGAAGTGCGTCACGTGACCGCGAGCCAGCAAGCCAACCAGAGGGGGCGCCCCTCCCAACCATGTACGCTCCCGGATTGGTCGAACCAAGTTCCTACCTGCCCACTCCGAAGGAACGTGTTTCCACCATATGGCTATAGCACCCATACAAACTGCCCACGTGAAGGGGCTCAACGCAGGTGGGCGTCCCCACGGGACCCTGCACCTGGAGCCAGGGACCCTGCACCTGGAGCCAGGGACCCTGCGCCTGGAGCCAGACACCCTGCGCCTGGAGCCAGACACCCTGCGCCTGGAGCCAGGGACCCTGCGCCTGGACCCAGGGACCCTGCACCTGGAGCCAGGGACCCTGCGCCTGGAGCCAGACACCTTGCACCTGGAGCCAGTGACCTTGCACCTGGAGCCAGGGACCTTGCACCTGGAGCCAGACACCCTGCACCTGGAGCCAGTGACCTTGCACCTGGAGCCAGACACCCTGCGCCTGGAGCCAGACACCCTGCACCTGGAGCCAGACACCCTGCACCTGGGGCCAGGGACCCTGCGCCTGGAGCCAGACACCCTGCACCTGGAGCCAGGGACCCTGCGCCTGGAGCCAGGGACTCTTCACCTGGAGCCAGAGACCCTGCACCTGGAGCCAGGGACCCTGCACCTGGAGCCAGGGACCCTGCACCTGGACCCAGGGACCCTGCACCTGGAGCCAGGGACCCTGCGCCTGGAGCCAGACACCCTGCGCCTGGAGCCAGACACCCTGCGCCTGGAGCCAGGGACCCTGCACCTGGACCCAGGGACCCTGCACCTGGAGCCAGGGACCCTGCACCTGGAGCCAGGGACCCTGCACCTGGAGCCAGTGACCTTGCACCTGGAGCCAGGGACCCTGCGCCTGGAGCCAGACACCTTGCACCTGGAGCCAGGGACCCTGCGCCTGGAGCCAGACACCCTGCGCCTGGAGCCAGGGACCCTGCGCCTGGAGCCAGACACCCTGCACCTGGAGCCAGACACCTTGCACCTGGAGCCAGACACCCTGCGCCTGGAGCCAGTGACCTTGCACCTGGAGCCAGGGACCCTGCGCCTGGAGCCAGACACCTTGCACCTGGAGCCAGTGACCTTGCACCTGGAGCCAGGGACCCTGCACCTGGAGCCAGACACCTTGCACCTGGAGCCAGTGACCTTGCACCTGGAGCCAGGGACCCTGCGCCTGGAGCCAGACACCCTGCACCTGGAGCCAGACACCCTGCGCCTGGAGCCAGACACCCTGCGCCTGGAGCCAGACACCCTGCGCCTGGAGCCAGACACCCTGCACCTGGAGCCAGACACCTTGCACCTGGAGCCAGGGACCCTGCGCCTGGAGCCAGACACCCTGCGCCTGGAGCCAGACACCCTGCACCTGGAGCCAGACACCCTGCACCTGGAGCCAGACACCCTGCACCTGGAGCCAGGGACCCTGCGCCTGGAGCCAGACACCTTGCACCTGGAGCCAGTGACCTTGCACCTGGAGCCAGACACCCTGCGCCTGGAGCCAGTGACCTTGCACCTGGAGCCAGGGACCCTGCGCCTGGAGCCAGACACCTTGCACCTGGAG